CGGTGGCTGAGCTGAGCGGAGTCCTGGTGCTGGGGGAGGCTGGGTGGACGCTCTGAGCCACTCACAGGTTGTCAGCGAATGTTTGTACGGTCCAAGATTGAGCTCCAGTCTCTGTCCCTCGGGGCGGGCCGAAGGCGCCTTGGGGAACACAGGTTCTGTCCCGGGACTGCCGCCAGCCTTATATAGCGACAGGACAGCTCCGACTGACGTCAGCGAAGAACATGCACTGATTGTAGAAGCAATGACAGCCACAGCTTCGAGTCTGGCGGCTGGCGGGCCCCGGAGGGGCGCACCTCCCGACATGAGCCTTCGTCTCCCTGGGGCTAGCGCTGGAAGCAGCACTGGACGCAGGAGAGCGAGAAGCTGGCTGGGGCGAAAGGACTGCTCTGGGACCCACGGGAGTCCCTCGCCCTGCTTAGAACGCCAGCAGTGACTAGGGCCGTCACCAGACCAGACTAGTCCGGGTCGCGTGTTCTGACACACGAAAGGGAGGCGGGACCGTGGGGGCTGTCCATGGTGCTGACCCCGTCCTGCGCCTCTAGAAGTGGCTAGAGATGATGTGAGAACGCTGTACTGCTGCAAACCACTGCCTCGTGGCAGCTATCAGTTCTGCAAATGCAGGTATCAGGAGTCCACCGCTGGCACTCAGCCAACACAGTGGGTCCCATTGAGAGGCAGTCTTCCACAACCAAAGTCTCCCAGCATTCTCATCTTTTTCCAGCCCCAGGATCCAAATTCTAGGGCTGTCTGACACAGGCACCATGTAACAGAGGGTCTCTGGCCTCCAAGTGCGTTCAGACCACAAATATGGCCCATCTGCTTTTGAGTTTGTCCAAAGTGGTAGTTTAGCAAAGTTCCGTTTCTCTCCTGGGAATCATAGCAGCAGTATTACTCTGCCCATGAGTAGTAAACAAATATGGGTTCAAGTTTCTGCTAACTCCTGGTGTGGGCAGGTCACCTCCCTTCTACCAACCTCAGGGTTCTCAGTTGTAGAAGACTGGGCTTGGCCAGGCGTGGTGGCTCACGTCTGTAATCCCAACACTTTGGCAGACCGAGGCAGGTAGATCACGAGGTCAGTAGTTTGAGATCAGCCTGGCCAATATGGCAAAACCCCATCTCTACTAAAAATACAAAAATTAGCTGGGCATGGCGGTGCGCACCTATAGTCCCAGCTCCTCAGAAGAATCACCTGAACCCAGGAGGCGGAAGCTGCAGTAAGCCGAGATCGCGCCATTGCACTCCAGCCTGGGAGACAGAGCGAGACTCCATCTCAAAAAAAAAAAAAAAAAAAAAAAAGATTGGGCTTGGTGGTCTCTTGGCTTCTTTCCAGCTCTAGAAATGACTCCCCATTACCACTGAAGATTCCGGATTACACATTTAATAACATATTTACTGAGGCATCATATAAAGGGTTCCGGGGGTCTCTGAAGAGCTGGAGCTACAAGGCTAGGCAGGGTTAGAGTAACAAATGTGTCTATGAAGAGTGGGGATGAGTGGCATTTGCTGGGATATGTGTGTAAAGTTGATAAGGTCATGAAAGTTCAACAGATATTTATGGAGTGCCTAGTATGTGGTGGGAATAAGACTATTATCAAGGGCTCTAAAGCAGTCAGCGCACATTTTAGAGTGAAGGGAGCATTGCAGGGTGCTAGTCCTCTTAAGTTCTGACTGGCAACCCAACCCTGTGGAAACTAGTGTGCCCACTTTAGGAAGTTGTCTGACCGTTCCAGGGCCAAGCTGCATCACTGCAAGGTGGAAACGATGGAGTGAGGCCGGCTTAGAGCCGATGTGCCTTCCAGGACAGGTAGGAGTTCCAGATAACAGCAACACATTGGACAACGGCCAACCTAAGGAACAAGAATAACACGGTGAAGAGGAGGAAAGCTAAGCAGTGAGCAAGGGCTGGAGATGAGAGTGTGAAATGGAAAAGGAGGGATCATGTCAGAAGATTGGCAGGTTTAGGTCTCTTTCCTTCAGCGCCTTTTTTTTTTTTTTTGAGATGGAGTCTCCTCTGTCGCCCAGGCTGGAGTGCAGTAGTGCGATCTTGGCTCACTGCCTCCCGGGTTCAATCAATTCTCCTACCTCAGCCTCCCAAGTAGCTGGAACTACAGGTGTGCTCCACCACACCTGGCTAATTTTTGTATTTTTAGTAGAGACAGGGTTTCACCATGCTGGCCAGGCTGGTCTCAAACTCCTGACCTCAAGTGATCTACCCACCTCGGCCTCCCAAAGTGCTGGGATTACAGGTGTGAGCCACCGCACCCAGCCCCTTCAGTGCCCTGTGAAGGGCCTGTGTGGCTTGGACTAAAGGACAACTGGCTCAAATTCTAGTGCCATCCCAGAGCTCTGTTTCCTGGCTGAGAGCCTCAAAGGCTAAATATTTAGCGGCTCTCTTGCCACATGTAGCTCTGTTAATCACAGAAAGGGCCCCTATCTGTCCTGTACCAGCTGAGATTTCATCTTCCAAAATGTACGGACTACCATACAAAGTAGCATCTTTTTGTTTTAAATTAACCTTGCTCTGGTTTCAAAGAGTGTTGCAAAGGACCCTAATGTTTAAGATTTGGTTCATAAGTCTGTATTCCTTTTTTGTTTTCTGTTTTTTTTTTTTTGAAATGGAGTCTCACTCTGTTGCCCAGGCTGGAGTGTGGTGGTGCGATCTTGGCTCACTGCAACCTCTGCCTCGCGGGTTCAAGCAATTCTCCTGCCTCAGCCTCCCGAGTAGCTGGCACTACAGGCACCTGCTACCACGCCCAGCTAATCTTTGTATTTTTAGTAGAGACAGGGTTTCACCATATTGGTCAGGCTGGTCTCGAATTCCTGACCTTGTGATCCGCCCGCCCCAGCCTCCCAAAGTGTTGGGATTACAGGCGTGAGCCACTGCACCCAGCCTTTTTTTTTTTGAGACAGGGTCTCACTCTGTCACCAGGCTCTGAAATGCAGTGGCACAATCTTGGCTCACAGCAACCTCCATCTCTCGGGCTCAAGTGATCCTCCCACCTCAGCCTCCCAAGTAGCTGGGACTACAGGCATATGTTACCATGTGCCTGGCTAATTTTTTGTATTTTCTGTAGAGATGAGGTCTCACTATATTGCCTAGGCTGGTGTCAAACTCCTAGACCCTAGCAAACCTCTCGCCTCAGCCTCCCAAAGTCCTAGAATTACAGGTGTGAGCCACCATGCCCAGCCAGTCTGTATTCATTTTAGCTATGTTATTCATGTACATTTTGGCCATGTTCCCCCTTATTTTCCCCTGTTCCCACAATCCCTCACCTCCAAGCATTTGAACCACACATCTTCAGTTCCATTATTTTTTTGGGTGCAGTTCAGCAACTGTCTTTATCATGAGTGTCTGGCCAGGCTTCTACTTGGCTTTCTGGTCTACCTCTCTGTCTAACCTAGGCTGCAGCACCCCAGCCACTGTCCCTCCAGATACGCCATCAAAGGCGGAGCCCCAGGTGGGATGGCGACAAGGGTGGTAGAAGCAGGATCCTCCCTAGGGAGATGAAGAAGGTCAGTGGGCAGACACTCTGGACGGTTTCTGGAAATGGCTAGACATCTGAATAACACGCTTGGGAATCTGAGAAACTCTGATCAGGGCTCAGTGTTCCAGTTGGGGGTCTAAGGTAGCTCAAGGTTGAAATGAGAATCATTTTGTCTCCAACTGTTGGTAACGTGGGTATTCCTTGATGGGTGGGGTAGGGGTGCGACATACCTGTAATGAAGGGGGACCAGGTAGAAGTTGGCTAACTGCACAGCAGGCCATAGCTGCAAGAGAGAAGGTAAAGGTTGGATGGCTGCCCCACCACCTGACCCCAGACTCACTGTCTTGCCTGGCCCTACCCCAACTTCTGCACATAAGAGAAAGGTGAACAATTGGGTGATGGCTTCCCTATTTATGGTGCCCATCCTGGGAATGAAAGAGTAATCCCAACGGAAGGGCTTCCCATGTCAGGAGGACCCCCAATCCCAGGACAGTTCTAGACTTAAGGAAGCAGAAGAACAAGCAGTTGAGGTGTCAGCTCTTACATAGTAGTTGGTGATAAGGGCATCAGGATAATCCTGGGGAGACAGAGAAGGAACAAATTAACACTTGCACCTCCAAGCAGCTCCCACTTCCCAGTGTGAATGACAGACTTGGGTTCAAAGAGCACATTCCTGCACCATAACCCTCAGCTCCTCTCCTTCATGGCCTGGGACTCAACCTGCACTTACCTACTTTTTTATCCCTGTAAAACCTGTCTCCTTCCCCTGGGCTGTCAGTCTGCTAGCCAGAGACATTCTCCACACCTGCCCAGCTCACCCGCTGTAGTTTGGCCCAGTTGTCCTTGGCTGACAGTCCATTGAGTGCCCCTACCAGTGGGAGAAAGCAGCCTAGAAAACACGGGGCAAAGCCCCCCTAGGGAAGAGAAATTAAAGTCCTATGAGTGCTGAAATCCCCACCTACCCCCAACACAGCTCACCCTCCCCACTCCGTTCTCCTGCTCACCTGATCCAACATCATCTTCTTCAGTGCATCCACCTTGGTGGTGCCAGGGATGAACCGATCCAAAACCTTGTACCAGCCTCCTACCACAGGGCCCTGGAAGTAAACCCCAGCTAGCAGCAGGCTGCAGTGAGGGAGCACTAGGCCTCTACCTCACTAAGCTCCCCGCCCCAAGTATCAGAAACCCTTAGGGGAAGTGGACACTAAGAAAAGAGGGCGGCAGGTTGGCTTAGGTGTGACAGTCCAAGGGAAGCCAAAGGATGACAAAGAACTAAGACTACTGTTGAGTCCACTGAAGCCCTGCGGAGGGGAGAACTTACCACAAAGCCACAGCCCAGGGACATCATAGTCAGAGTCCGGCCTCTCTGGTGTTCCTGCAGACCCCGCCTCTCCACCAGCTGCTGTGAGATAATGTCACCCAGGCCCATCAGGGACCCTATGCAGGGTACACAGGTGTTGTCAGGACATCTCCTGGGATGGGCTGCCATTCCAAGGAAGGAGGGACATCTGCTGACCTCCACTGAGACTCTGGTACTCTCATCCCCAGGGCTTCATTCTGGAAACAAATGACTAGTCCCTTCCTGCTGCCTCAAAGCCCTCATCTCCCCAAGGATGGTGACACCTCATGTGTATCCTGTCAGAACTGGGATGAGCAGGCCCAGGAACTTTGCATTGAGCAGTAAAGGGAAGTCAGAGTCAGTAAATAAAGAGAGAGGAAGGAGAATTTAAGGCCACAGGGCTGAGAACCACAGACCGTCAGAATCAAAAGGGGCTTTAAGATAATTTAATGCAAACCGCTTATTTTAGAGGTATGGAAACGAAGTCCAGGATCCCACATAACCAGTAAGTGCAGGGCCAATGCAAGAACCAGGTGGCTGGATTCCTAGACACTTCTAGGACACAGCACAATGAATAAATCATGTGCAGAATGGTAGGAAACCCTGTTTTCTCCCCCGAGCCCAATGCAAGACCCTGCCAACAGCTTTCACCTTGGTCTAAGAGATCTCTATTTGTGGAGAACAGCAAAAATAACTTTTTTTTTTTTTTTTTTTTAGACTGAGTCTCGCTCTGTTGTCCAGGCTGGAGTGCAGTGGCATGATCTTGGCTCACTGCAACCTCCGCCTCCCGGATTCAAACAATTCCCCTGCTTCAGCCTCTCAAGTGGCTAGGACTACAGGCACCCACCACCATGCCTGCCTATTTTTTGTATTTTTAGTAGAGATGGGGTTTCGCCATGTTGGCCAGGCTGATCTTGAACCCCTGACCTCAGGTGATCTGCTCGCCTTGGCTTCTCAAAGGGCTGAGATTACAGGCATGAGCCACTGTGCCTGGCCAGAATAACTCTTTTTCTAAAACAAGAGTGCTGGTCTGGAATTGTGGCTCACACCTGTAATTCCGGCACTCTGGGAGGCTGAGGCAGGAGGATTGCTTGAGCCCAGGAGTTTGAGTTCAGCCTGGACAATATAGCAAGACCCAACTTCTACAATTATTTTTTTTTAAATAATTATCTGGGCATGGTGGCACGTGCCTGTAGTCCCAGCTACTCAGGAGGCTGAGGTGGGAGGATCGCTTGACCCCAGGAGGTCAAGGCTGCAGTGATCACGCCATCACACTGCTGCCTGGGAGACAGAGCAAGACCCTATCTCAAAAAGAAAAAAAAAAAATGAAAGAAGAGTGCTCAAATGGTCATAAGCAGGAAGATGACTGGTTGAGCTGATAAGAGTCCCCACAAGAAAGAGTCTTGGCCACCTCTTAGCACAATCAATCAGCTAAACCGAGATTTCCTCCATTCACAACCTTAGATCAAGTTGGCAATGAATATAGTGGCCATTTCCCCCCCAGGACTCTGCACCTGCTTCCCTTTCCCTAACTGCACAGATACCCAGCTCCAAGCAGCCCTATTTAGACACCCACACCCAGAAACTATGACAGAAATCATCACTGTTTACAGAGCCCCCACTCCGTTATGGTGGCGTGATGATTTCTAGCAAATACACACTTACCAGGCCACTTGGGAGTGACCGTATGATTTCCGGCTCGCCTGTCTATCTCACTGAGTAATGAGAGCCCCCTATCCAAACCCGTAGTCACACTGTCCCTGTGCCCTCAATTAGCACTGGGCAAACACATCCTTCTGCCCCATTCCTTGGCCCGGAGCTGGCTCTGACGTCCATGCTGGCTGCACACTCACTGCTGCGCTCCTCCTCCACACCCTCTGCCCAGCCCTGCCCCTGAGCAGCCTAGTCAGTGACAGCTGGGTATGGCTGAGAGCTGGGGCTGGGGCTGGGGCTGGGCACCCATGCCTCACCTGGGCTACTGGACATGGAGCAGCTCTGGGTACCCCCAATCCTGTCTTGTCTCTCCCTGAAACTCCCAAAGTGGTGGGGGTCTTCCAGAACACTGCGAGACATGACCTCCCAGAGTCAAGGATAGAATCCCAGACACCTTTGTTATCCCATTCCCCTACCATACAGCTAAGCAAGCCCCTGGTAAGTGCTCAGAAAATAAAGGGAAAACGTCAAATGTACTGCTCCAAACAGCAGGACGACTCTGAGAAAGGGCCTAAAGAACTCTTAAGTTCCCAAAGGTCCAAGTCGGGTAGAAGGTGCGAGGACGTCTAGGGGAACTGCAGGTTTGCTCCCACCCCCAAGCAATCAGCACTGGGTTCCCTATCCCTCCAGTCAGGGATAAGAGGGAGCTGCTGCAGCCCTGAAGAAAGGGAAGAGTGCTGCCGAGAAGACCAGGGGATGGTGAGGCAGAAAAGGCAGTTCTTTCTGAAATGAAGGGACCAACAGTGTAATGGTCTACTTTGGTAAGGTGTTTACAAAGGGCTCTTACACATTTAATCCTCACAAAAGATCTGAGAGGTAGGTGGTCACACCCCCATTCATTCATTCATTCACTTATTTTTGAGATGGAGTCTCGTTCTGTCGCCCAGGCTGGAGTGCAGTGGTACGATCTCGGCTCACTGCAACCTCCGCCTTCCTGTTTCAAGCGATTCTCCTGCCTCAGCCTCCTGAGTAGCTGGGATTACAGGTGCCCACCACCACACCTGGCTGATTTTTGTAGTTTTAGTAGAGATGGGGTTTCACCATTTCACCATGTTGGCCAGGTTGGTCTCGAACTCCTGACCCCAAGTGATCTGCCCGCCTCGGCCTCCCAAAGTGTTGGGATTACAGGTGTGAGCCACTGCACCTGGCCTACACCCCCATTTAATGATGAGTCTTTGAGAGATGAGGTGGCTTGGTAAAGAGCGCAGTTGGAACTGAACCCAGTCCTTCTCTCAAGGAGGACCAAGGAGGCCAGGGTATTCCCAGCATGGGCTGAGATGGGCTCAGAGGTCAGTAGCACCAGGAGGCCCCTGTGGCTGCTCCCCTGCTAGGTGTTCCTGCCCACATGAGGCCCCAAAGGGCTTGCATATCAAAGACATTCCCTAGACTAATGCACTTCCTCTCTGTCTTTACTCCCCCAAATTCCATCACTCTGCTCCTTGTCACCTCGTGGGGATGGCAGGCAGCAATATTCCTGGGAAAGAAACAGAGAAGTGTGTGTGTTTTCACTCTTCATGACTTGCCAACAGTCACACAACAAGCTAGAGGCAGAGCTTGAATGAAAAGCCAGGTCCCTGACTTCTAGCCCCATAGTTTAGAAGCCTGCAGCCTTGGAGAAAGATGGATTCAAGTCCCCCAAACTGTGCCCATCAAGCCTGAGGGACTACCAAGTGACAGGGCAGCAGTAGGGGTGAGTAGGTGGTGTGTAGATATGCAGCCCCTGACAGTTTATTTCAGAAGAGTGGCGCCCAGGGATTCCTTTGCCCACAGATGATCAGGCCTCCTGTGCCTGCAGCAACTCCAAGGTGGTATAAGGCTTTAGAGCAAGCATAGAGCAAGCGTGCTTTTCCAGCCCAAGTGACCCTTTGGGCAGGAAGGACAGACATTCAGATTCCTCACCCCATCTTCCCCAACCCAGAGCCCAAACAGATACAAACCACCCCAGCCTCTGGGAGATCTCCTGGATATATTTCGTTGGTCTGGACTCTCCAGTACTCTGGGCCCACTCCCCTTGGACTTGTTTCTAGGGAGCTGGGACTGGAGGCCTGCAAACATAATGGCCAGAGGCCTGATGGGCAGGGCGAGGGGCTACTGGGCAGTGATGCCCAATGACAGGCTGGGCAAGGAGCCCAGCGAGCAGATGCTGGCGCAGGTGTGACATCATGCCCCTGGGTAGGTGCCAGTTCTCATGCCGTCACTCCCCACCAGATCCAGAGGCCGGGGGAAGGGAGCCTGCCACTGAGCAGATTGATTTGGGACCACTTCCTGTCCACTAGAGGAAAAGCCCCAACTTCCACACCCTCTTCCTAGGCATGGGTGATGTAAATTCCCTACTTCTCCTATTTTGTTCCTCTGCTTACTTTTGTGGCTTTTGAGTCTCATGCGCAGAAGGCAGAGGGGCAAGAAGTGGTTTCTTGGAGTGAGGAGCAGGAAGCGTGTCCTTCAGTCCAGGAGGGCTGGGTCAGCAGGTATAGCTACTGGCATGAGGCCAGCAGTGCTGCCTTCCTCCTCAGAAGTCTCCAAACATTAGTCAGCTGCCTAGGGTAGGGGCTCAGTCTGGCACAGAGCCCAGAGGGAGTGGAAGCCCAGCAGTGCGAGGGGAGAGTGGATCCTCTGGGATTATTGTGAATGCTCTCTCATTTCTGGCCTGAACCCATCCTACTGCTAGAAAATGAGACAAAATGGGTAGTTTTGCAGCTTGTCACGTATCTAAGCTCAGAATAGCTGGGGTTGCACTCAGCATCTGGAGGCTCCAGTAGTCTCAAGGGCATGGCAGTGTGGCGGGCAGTGCCCTAGGTTATAACGCCAGCTCAACCACTGACTGAGACCTCAGTGCATGACACGCCCACTCCTGCCTCAGTTTCCTTCTCTGCAGTCTCACAGGCTGGACTAGATGGTCTGTAAGTTCTATTGAGCTCTCACACCCTAGCTTAATTCAGACCCCAGGGAAACCAGTATCTGTAGGAGCTCAGCTGCTCCCACAGCAGGACCGAGTAGACTAAGATGGATGAAGCTCGGCCCTGGGCCCACTGGAGAGTGGAAAGGCCCTCAAAAAAGGAAGGGATAAGGCTGACTCAAACTCTGTAGAACATGCAGCAACCCTTTCCCCAGGCTACCCTGTTCCGGACTCTGGCTTGGCCAAAACTGGTATACCAGACATTTCTTTTGAATCATTTCAAATGTTCTTGATTCACCTATTTCTTACTCCAGACATTACTGTAGTAATGACAGATTCTTGCTTCAGGCCTATGCCACACCTGGACCTTTGCTACTGATGGCTTCAGTGACTATGCATGTACAAACTAGTAGCGGAGGGGAGTTATCCCATGAGGTGAATTTTTTTTTTTTTTTTTTTTTTTTGAGACAGAGT